TACAATGAATTGATTGTCCTTATCTGACTTTTTTTTTTGCCATGCTTTCTTTCGAGCCAAGGGTCTTTCGAAACAACCTCTCTGCCTCCCAAGGTAGCAATAAGGTCAGCGTACACTCTACCTCCTCAGACCTTACTTTGTGAGTTTTCATTGAGTATGTTGTTGTATATCAACTTATCAAATTTTTGAGTCGCTTTTATTATTTTATACTTTTTCATTGAAAACTTATCGTTGATATTCTTACTTAGGGTCTCTGTATCAAATTTGGCTTTAGGCCACCAATCTTGTTGAGACGGCCCTGTTAAGCATCACATTATTGTGCTCACATGTTGAATTTTCATGCTTTTGATTATCATTGTAGGAGGATATGTTTTTGTTCGATGTGATGTAATTATTTACGTTTCTCTGTTTCTAATAAATTTTTTTGCATTTATACGATCATCTGCACTTCTAGAATAGATTTTGGAATTTTACCTACAGAATTTGAGTTTTAACTAGATTCTTGATATTCTCCATACGTTTGATAACTGAGAATGTTAATTATATAGATATTCTCCATTTCTGAAAACTATTTTTAGATCAGTATCAGTTACACAGTTTATCAAACACTAAATATAATTTAATTATTGAATTAGTCACTATTGGGTTTTTCCCTTGTACATGCTACCAATTTATACAATGAAATATTGCTAATCAGTAACTAATTTTTCAAAGTTTAAGTAAGTATTTATTTCCAAAAACAATTGAAGCGCTATACCATCGTTAGAGGAAATTACGAATTTCTGAACTTGAAAATATAACAACGAACCGTTAAGAAGAAAATGAAAATCTTGCCACGTCTTCAACATCCCGCAGCCTTTGTACGCACCAATTACTGTGTAGTACGATACTGTTGTCTGTGCATATTAGAAAAATACAGGTAGTTGCTGTACAGGATAGTGGGCCTGTCCGTGTCAGGTGGAAGGTACCACTAATACTTAATTGCTTAATACCCAAAAAATTTGGATGTTTGCTAATCTAATTAGAAATGGGAGTAACTATGATTAATTGCCAGTACTTTGCCACAATACCGTAGTAATTAATACTAATCCAATTTTAAGTGTGGTTGTATAATTTTTTTATGCTACCAACATATATAGTTAAGCACTAATAAAAAAGTATATATTTTAACTTATGCATTGACAATTATAAAAAAATTATTATCAGTATAATTTAATTTGTTATAACAGATATATCTACTTTTTTTTAAATATTTAATTTTAAATTACAGATGATTACGTGTAGGTATATTTTTGAAGATTTCATAGTGAAAATACAAATTTCAGCCTTCTGTTTTCTTCCCCCCTCTCTCTGTTTTTTTTTTTTTTTTTTTTAAACTTAATAGACATGTTTTGAACTATAACTCCCCTGCTGCCTCGATAATTAGGTGCTGTTCTTTTTGTCGTTTGCGGTTTGTTCCCCTCATTACTGAAAGATAATGAAATTTCCCGGTCTATCACGAGTGTGTGTGTGTGTTTTTTTTTTTTTTTTGGCTTGACAGAAAGATAGTATAATAAGTTTTTGTTAAAGGACCCCAGTAGGCCTCATTTGTTTTTCTAAGATTAAGACGTCTGGATCTGAATACACTTCTGAATATCAATATGTGTATTAAGATTAAGACATCTGAATCTGAATATACATCTGAATATAATAAGTTGTGTATTAAGACCTGAATACTAAATAATTAAGACTATTGGATTTTTGACATCTGAATGTATAAAATTTATCTTTACTTGAAAATTAATAAGCATAAAGTTCAAATGAAATACTAACTAATCTAATGTTCTATCAATAAATTATATAGTTTTTTAAAATATGATAGTTGTTGGTGGTGATAGCTAACGGGTGAATGCCCACTCGAGACGGTGGTTGGTGGTAGTTTTGGTTGATGATGGTAGTTCATGCTAGTAGCTAGTAGTGATTGGTAGTGGTGTCGATTATGATTGAGTATGGTGGTGGTGATAGTTAATAATTGTAGGTGGTGGTAGTAGTTGTGAGTGAGGAAGGTGGTGGATGGGTGGTGGTAGGTTATAATGATGGGCAGTGCCGGCTGCGGTTGTTGATGGTGATGGTGGTCAGTTGTGATAGTTGAGGTGGATGAGGGTTGATTGTGAGTGAGAATGAGGATGGTCGAAGTGGTGGGGATAGTGGGTGGTGATGGTCGATAATGGTGGCGGCTATGATTGAAGATGATGGTGGCGTGGTGGTGGTGGAGGTGGTGGAGGTGGTGGTGGGGGTGGTTGAGTATGGTGGTGGTGGCGACATGGTGGTAGTTGATAATGGTAGGCGGTGGCGACAGTTAATAATGAATATGTGATAGCATCTTAATGAAATTAAGTCTCCGTTACAGATCTTAATCATACAGACCTATTCAGACACATTAAGTGGTTGTGAAGTAAAAAAAATAAACACACTTAATGATTAAGATCTGGGTAATTAAGATTCAGACTTTAAAAACAAATGCACTTAATGCCTGAGAATTGAATGATTAAGATTCAGACCCCCATTAAGTGCAAACAAATGAGGCCTTACTCCCTTTGCCCTATTGAAAATAATTTGAACAAATATTTATATATTAGTTTAATTTATAAATACATAAAAAGAAATGGTTAAAAAAGTAATCAGCGTGCTCAATGCTTCATTTTTTACTGCTTCAAGTAGGGGTGGGCATTGGGCAATTTAGATTAGATATGAAAATTTTGGTTTGAATTTTTGACTTTAGTATTGAAGAAATGACAATCCAAATCCAATCCAAATAAACTCGGATTGGATCAAATTTTTTAAGTTTGAATTCAAATTAATTGGTTTGGATATTTTAAATTTTCGGCTTTCGTATTGAAGAAATGATAATCCAAATCCAATCCAAATAAAATCGGATTGTATCGGATTTTTTAAGTTTGGATTCGGATAATTAATTGGTATTATGGATTTTCGATTTTAAGCTTATAAGTTGAGATGTTTCTTCTTTCTACGATTATGAACATCAAAATAAAGTACTCATGTTAAATTGCCTAAAAAATTATTTATTTTTACCGCAATCATCCAAATAGAGTATTCAATTAATGAGATCGTCATCAAGGAAATATAACAAAGACATTAGTAAGGCTGATAAGAAGTATTAATAGTAAAATCATGTCCAAATAGAAGGTATTGATAGTAACTTAGCAATTAGTATTGAATATATGAGATAATGTCCAATGGTTAGGATATTGGACTTGTTACTATTGGCATATGAATAATGGAAAAAATATAAAATATAAAATATAAAATATAAAAGTTTTTGATTTTCGAATATCCAAAACTCTGAAGTACCAAATCTAATATCCAATATGAAATCCAAATATCATAAAAATTAAATCCAAAATTCAATCTATAATCCTAAAATCCAAATAATTCAAATGTTGGTTTGGATATCAAGTTTGCCCAAACTATACCCACCCCTACCTTCAAGCAAGAGAAATACAATGGTCTTACATTAGGCCCAAAATGAGATTTTTGTATTACATTATGCGACACATTAAATATTTACACTGTATTTATCATTCGTAGCTACACTTTCAGCAAATTTACCATTCGTAGCTATAATTGAGTTTTATAACAAATTCATGAAATAAGAGATTAATTGTTTTGAAATAAAATAAAAGAGCAACAAACTCTCGCAGCTCAGTTGGTTAGAGCGCTCTCTTAGTTAGCGGAGGTCTTGAGTTTGACTCTCGAAAAGAACATTTTATTTTTTCAGTATTTCTGTATTTTGCCTTAGTTGTATTCGTTGCGCGAACAAATACAGCCGATACATGTTGTATTCTTTGTATACACCCCTATATACATTCGATACAAGTTGCATCCTTTGTATACACCCTTGTATTTCGCCTTTACTAATACAACTGCGCTAACGAATATAGTTGATATACGTGGTATTCGATGTGCGAACGAGTACAATTGACACAGGTTATATTCGTTACATGTTTGAATACAAGTGATACAAATAAGTAACAATTGAAAAATAATTACGAATAATAATTAAGTAAACTATAGTTACTAAACTCAAAACTACAGTGGTTTATAAAAATTTCTCTTTTGAAATTTTTGATGAAATGTGTGGTCCTAGTATATCCTTAAGAGAGGTGAAATATTTGTAACATTTACAATGAAACAAGTGTAGAGTAGATTAACAATACAAATGTCTTCAATGCTATCTGTGATCAAACAGACAAATAAGCAGATTTTATATGAAGTAACATGACAATTAATTTATGTCATATCATGATTAGATTTATTTGCATAAGAATATGAGATCATGATTTATTAATTGACTTGAAATTGTAACATGTTTTCAAAAGCTAATTAAAGAATTCCTCTTAGATTATTGGACATACATAAATACATATATTGGCACCTAAAACACTTCATATAATTTAGTTTATTCTCAAATGGCAATTTTTTTGTCTTCAAATATTTGTTGAAACTTTTTTATCTGTAAAAATAACACACATCACAGTGCAAAAAGGCCTAAGATATACATTTTCATGATCACATAAATGCGTCGGCCAATAGCATCCCACATCTTTTACCTAAATCTTAATGCTCAGTTACTCACAGATTATAATTGCACATTTAACTGCTAATCAAGGGCAAGTTAGTACTTTCACTTGATTGGAGAAAATTTAGTAAGTCGGTTATGGGAGGCGATCAAGCTTAGCCTTTAGACTAGGTTACTAAACTTAGCAATAACTGAAAAACCAAAGCTTGCTTAAGCAACACTAAAACTAAGCTAAATATAAATTAATACATTATTATCTGTAATTACTCAGCAAATCACCATCAATTTAAAAATCTCTTTTCTTTTCCTTTTTCGTAGTTAAGGAAAAAAAAAACCAAGAAATGAAGAAGGGTCCAAGGTAAGATACTAAAAATAAAATAAAAATGAAAATATGAAAAACCCAGCGTTTGTCAGATTCAGAGCCACCCTATTCTCTCTCTTTCCTTTTCCACTGGCACTTCTCTCCCTGTGTGTGTGTGTGTTAGTACTGAGTACATACAATACAAATACTGCGAAACTTTGCTTTCTTCATTTTAATGGCGTGACTTGAACACAACACTGTCCTTTTCTTATTCCTCCCCACTCACTACCAAATATCCATCTGTTCTTCAAATACTCAAAACCCCAAATACAGAAACAAAATCTTCTCTAATTCCCAATGCAAACTTTATTAATTTCCACCAACCTTAAAAACCAAAAATTCTCCTCGTATTGTATTAATCTAATATCCATCCATATATATTTCTGTTTCTTAGTATAGTTGTTACACGTAACGTGTGTGTGTGTATTTATATCTGTTTGCTATATAGAGTTCTTACACGAGGTTTGTATTGTGTGATGTATAGAGGTGACGAAAAGGGAAAAATGAAGGGTGCTGAAGAAATGCTGAGGATGATGATGATTAAGGAAAACGTTTCATATTTGCATCAAAATCATCAATATGATCATCAAACAATGATGGGGTTTTCGCCGTCGGGTTCAAGTTCTTCGTTTTCTGGTACCGGGTTTGGTTTATATGGTGATGATTCAGTGGATTCTTGGAATGTATTTGATCATCAGAATATTAATCAAGGAGAAGGAGGAGTAGTTGATATTACTAATACTACTTCTGGTTGGTCTAACATGCTTTTTCACGAACAGAATTTTGATAAGCATGTTGACATAGGCGATCTGTCTAAGAGATTTAATTATGGGGTGAACATCAATGGAACAGGAAATTTTGGTCATGATCTTTGTGATTTTCAAAAGTCAGGAGAATTATTAGGTGGACAGAAAAATTATTTGTATGATTCAATGGGGTCTTTTTGTAGTAGTAACAAACTTCCTGTTAATCCTCTGTACAATGACCTCTGTTTTCAAAAAGAGCAAATTGATTATACTAACTTGTGTAACATGAATAGGCCTAGTAGTAATGTGAGTCTTGGATACTCAGAGCAGTGTGGATTTAATGATGTTGGTGTTGATAGTAGTTTGTTTAGTTCATTGCATGGCATAAACCCAAGCAGGATGGGATTAAATTCCGAATGTGATTGTTCCATTTTAAAGCAGCAAAGGGCTAAATCAATACCTACTACTAACATAGTGAATCACCCTCTTTCCCCATTGCCATATTCAAGAAGCCATGAGAGTGAAGATAGCTTCATTATTCAAGGGGAATGTTTAAAATATGCTTCTGAACAGAGAAGTTTAAAGGGTCACAAGAAAAAATCGCGGAATGAGATTAAAATGGAAAGGTTGCAAGAGAAGAAACCAGCAAGAAATAGCAGCTTATTGCATAATGGTTTAGGGGACACAGAATTCCAAGTAAGAGGAGTTAGTAAAAATGGTTTGGCCTCAAGGGATGATGCTAGTCTTACGCGTTCGGAACCAAACTATGTGTATTTGGCAGCTAAAGATCAGCTGGGGTGTAGGTATTTACAGAGGATATTTGATGAAGGGACCTCAGAAGATGTTCAGATAATATTCAATGGCATCATTCATAATATCTTTGAGCTAATGAAGGATCCATTCGGGAACTATCTCGTGCAGAAATTATTGACTGTTTGTAGTGATGAGCAAAGAATGCAGTTTGTGCTTATGGTGACTGATAATCCAGGAGAGCTTGTGAAAACATCCAGGACAACGCACGGGTAAATGCAGAAAAAATTTACTCTACCATTTTTGCTACTCTTTACATTGTTGATTCTTGAACTGCTTTTTGAAACCAAGCTGCTACCATTTCCTTTATTCAGGACCCGTGTTGTGCAAAAGTTAATTGAGACAATGAAGACCAGGCTGGAAATTTCATTAGTTATAAGGGCACTTCAACCTGGTATTCTTAATCTCATGATGGATGTAAATGGAAATCATGTGGTTCAGCGTTGCTTGCATTGTTTAAGCAAGGATCATAACAAGGTCTGACATCATTTTCTCATTGAATATAATTGGAGTTGTTAGGTGGAAATTTTGATAAACATAATATATTCATGTGCCTAAGTTACTTGTTTGGTACTAAAACTTTAGCTTAAATTTGGACCACCTTTTTGTTGGCACCATTTAAATGCAAGAGAATGTCATGAATACATAGTAAATATTACTTATCTTTGTTAATGCAGCAAGTTACTAAGAGTTCTTTTTATCTTTCAAATGATTCCTAAGAGCTGTTATTGAATGTACATTCTGACTTTGATGGCTCTAGAGGGTTATTCATATGTTTTTCACTTCCTGAATATTGGGTAGTTTGGCTGTGTTGCAGCAAGTAACTTTTGGTGTGTTCCAGTTATGGTAAAGTTAAAAGGTTCACGCTAAACATGTAGTGAAATACACATGTTGACAAATTATACAATGCTAGAGCTTGTATACTCTCACTTTGATACATTGGCAATGTACTAGATATTCCGTTTCAATTGGTTCTGCTTCCATTATTCTAAGTATCTAATCTGACTAAGTTTTCCTATCCTGCACAGCTAGTATTTGGTCTTGAGGTTTTCCTAGATAAATACATATATGTGTTGGTGTTGTGTGTGCTTGCGAAGTTTGTAAAGCAATAAACACTAAATTCACAAAGAACTGGATGACTGCTAGTTATAAAACAAGGCGAAAGGAGTGGCAAACCTTTGTTTGCCTGTTATGTGCTTTTCTTCATGTGTGTTGCTTGACAGATCAATAGTTTCAACACTCTGCAGATCTTTAGTTAAAATTTGTACCTCTTTACTTTCAGTTCAATTTGATTTCTTTTCACATGGGATGTACTCTATCTGAAGCAGAACATGTGGGCCTTTATTATTATTCAACAATATTCATAGGAACAGAATATTTATATTGATGGGAAGTATCTTGGAGAGATCACCGTAGTTTTGCACTTATACCTATTTGTGTTTTCATATCTGTAGAATATGAACTCAAGAAGTATAGTTCAATTAGCTTTTAAAGTATTTTATTATTTATTCTGAAACTGGTCTGTTCGATGAATCATTATGCAGCTTATTTTTGATGTTGCGGCTAAACATTGTATTGATATTGCAACACATCGTTATGGATGCTGTGTGCTGAACAAATGCATCACTTATTCAACTGGCAAGCAGCGCGAGAAGTTGCTTGTTGGGATTTGTTCTAATGGGCTTAAGCTTGCTCAAGATCCTTTTGGGTAAAATTCAGAACTTTTACTCTGGTCCTTTACTTTCTTGATCTTTTAGCACAGAAACTTCCCAAGATAATTTAGAAGCAAAATTTCTGGTCTAGTATCAAGATGATGGCATGTAATGTGCTGCTAAAACTTTCACCTTTGCTGTTCTTAATGTGTCTGCTTGTTCAATTTTTTGGAACTTTATAATATGCCTGCTTCCCCAGACCCCATGGTGTGGGATAATACTGGGTATGTTGATGTTGTTGTATAATATGCCTACTTACATTCAAATTATCTATATGTTGTTTAGGTGTAATCTTCTTCCAGAGTCATGTTACATATTCCATGTTACCACATTTAAAGCTAGCTTTGTCCTCTTGATATAGATTACTAGCGATCAAATGCCAGGAGACCCAATGGAAGTGCGTGAGACTGTTTATAGGATATGGCTCAGCAGTTCACCCCTTATAGTTTTGTGTATCCTATCAATATTTAGGAACATATGAAAAATATAACTGTCGTTAATTGCAAATATGATTCCAACAAACTTGGCAAATTAGTCCCAAGAAGATTAGTAAATGGTTATTTGTGGATTTCTTTTTAGTGGAACATCTGAACAACCTAAAATCCTTGTACACATTCCTTCTTATATTGCCAGGTACACCAATTTCTGCTCCTTCATTACTAGAAATTGTTTGCTCAAGGAATGCGTGCTCTAAGATTGTTTCACTTTCCTAGTAGTGGAGCTTTTTTTCTTTTTCTTTTTGTGTCCTGGCAGTGGAGTTCAATGGTGACAGTTCAGTCTCTGATTTCATCATCAAGTGCACCACAAACAAGCAGCTCTTCCATGTCTTTTACTTGTCTTGTGTGATGTAAACGATGCCCATATTCCATTAATATTTGCCTTTTAACTTTGCTAGTTACCTCAAGAAAGTTATATATACTGTGTCATTTTTATCATTTCCTTACAGCAGCCTATGTGTGTTGCCTGCATAGTCATTTTTGTGGCGCCTTTTGGTTCTGCTTCTTACGTACTAAAATTTGTTGAAATTTTCTAACTCACAATACAGGAATTATGTTGTTCAATTCATAATAGAGTTAAAGATAGCCTCTGCTGCAGCCATGTTGCTCTCTCAGTTTGATGGCCATTATGTATACCTCTCAAGGCAAAAGTTTGGCAGTCATGTTGTTGAAAAGTTCCTCAAGTGTGTTGAAGAAAGTAGGTCGAGAATCATCAATGAGTTAGTCTCAGAGCCTCATTTTGATCAGTTGCTGCAAGATCCTTTCGCTAACTATGTGATTCAGTCTGCACTTGGCGTTACTAAGGTTAGTCTATCAACTTGTTATATTTCTGTATACCTAGATGCTTTAAACTTCTTATGTTTCCATGTACTTAGGTGCTTCAAGCTCTGATTTCCATATGTGATCATGTCTTTGGTTCAGCTCCAACCTATGTGCTGGCTGTTTGTTGGTTGAGTAATACTTTATGCATGTATGGGTTCTGATAAAACTGACGATAAGATACATTTCTGATGAGCTAATGAGTCGGATTTTCTGAATGATATCTCTTTGAGCCCCACTCTCTTTTTCAGCTGAAAGGAAAAGTGAAAAAGAAAATGTGTTCTTTTTCTAATTCCTAAACAAAGATTATAATGCTCTCCTGTAGTAAGATGGACACTTGTGCTCAAGCTTGACTTGCAAACAACAAGAATATGTGTTAAGTATTAATTTTCTGATGTTCAGAAGAATGAAGTCAAAAACCTGTTGGGAAGGAAATGACAATTTCATTTCCAATTGATGCTTTACGCCAAAATATATTGATGAGAAACATGTGTGTGCGTTAGGTGTGTTTCTAGAGAGAGAGAGAGAGAGGGAAACTTCTAAACAAAGCTCCTACTAGCACCAGGACATACCTTTTGTCAGAATTTCCGTTTCCACGAGTCAATATCTGTTGTAGTCATCACTGTAGAAGCAATTTACTGCATTGTTATACACTAAGTTTACATTGTGTCCAAGTTCTCAAATTTGTTGTTATATCAGGTGGATGATTCTTGGACATATAAACTGGAACTTGCTTCCACTAGTAACTAGGAAGTGTTAATACCAAGTCTAGTTAATTATTATGACTATAGTAGTTACGCTGGACTAGTACCATATGAGACATGACTTGGTAAACAAAACCAGATGATTGTTTCAGTATTTGCATATTCTTATTCCTTGTAACTTTTACTTTGAAGCAGGGATCCGTTCGAGCTTTGCTGCTTCAAGCTGTGAGGCCTCACATGCTTCTCCTGCGCACGAGTCCATACTGCAAGAAGATCTTCTCTCGGCGACTATTAAAAAAGTAATGCTCCAAGCGACAGTAAAATGTTGTTGTTCTCTTACTATTTATTACCTTCTCTATTTAGGTACTAGATGTGGAATGTATCTTATCTATGATCCTATTAAGGTGATCACTAGCATATCAGACTGTTGTATGTCATGCAAGATTTTGGTTGATGCGTCTTTGTATCATGCTGTTTGTCTTTTGGCTCAAACTCTCGGATGTGTAAGATTGTAAGGGATCGTGACAATCTGTGACTTATCTAAATCAAGTTCCTATTTCTGTTGTGGTTATCGCAGAAGATCTTCATTTGGTCGAAGTTGCTTGATCTTTCTGTATTATTTCATGCTTATCTGGTGCACTTTGAACTCTTTTAGTGAGATACATGTTTGCTTTACTTGGCAGTGATATCGATATGATGAACGCAAAATAAACAGGACAGATGCAAATAACTAGAAGATGTTCTATTATAATGGATGCAAGCTGAAACGATGTATGCAAATTATAGAAAAACGTTCTTAGAAAGCATATAAAGTTGCATATTTAATGTTTCTCACAAGAAGAAAAGGACTAAGAACTTCACACTCGATCATCAAACATACGACGGATGCCAACTCTCAAATATAGGGGATAGCATATTTATTCTGGTCATTATAAAACAGAAGTGAGCCCATCCTTCTTAGTCCTCATCTTGTCCAAGCAGAGCCAACAGCATATTCTCATAATCTCCTCTTGTATCTTTGGCAATGGCGCGACCCAGAGGGATGCTATCCCTCTTCTGGTACTCATCAGCGATAGTCTTCATATCAACCTCAGCCCTTGTAGCAATAACTCTGGTCAGATGATCTTCCTCTGTTCCTCTCCTGTTAATTGCATCTCGAAGAACCTCCACGAAGTAGTGCTCGGGGTAGACAAGACCTTTTATGGTTGCCCTCAATAGTCCAACAAACTCATCCCCCTCTTCCAATTGCTGCTCATTAGCAAAAAAACTCAATAAATCAGTAAAGCAGAAATAACAAAGCCAGTCCTAGAGTATAAAGGGGCATCACTTAAAGCAAAGGAGCAACGGATGGAATGTGTTTACCTTTAGGATATCCTCTTCATACTCATCTTTGTAATGATTCAGAGTAGCATTGATCTGTGCTTTGCTCCTTGTGGCTAGAATTCTGATGACCTCATCGTCACTGTAAGCCTTATCGGAGATCTTCTCATGCAGTATTTTAGCTTCAGCTTTAGCAAGGCGCAAGTCCACCTCGTCTCCTCCATATCGGTAGGAGCTCACAAGAGGTACCAAAAGCTGAAAGAAATCGGAAACTTGAATGAATAACTCAACAAATTCAATATTCAGTGTCACTATTCCTCCAAGCAAGAGCCAAACTTGACGAACAACCTTAGACAGTACACTGCAAATGGTATCGCATAATTCATAGACAACGAAGGTTAACTTTTCATTAATCAAATGTGGATTAGAAATTTTATACTTTGGCGATCTTCTGAGATACCATTCAAGCCTCATGTAATTTGACAACAACTATTGTTAAGGAGTCTAAGTGGATATGGAGCCAGAAACGAGACTAGTTGCAATTAGAACGATTTGAACATAGTGATTAATCCAGTACCTTGCGGTGTTCCCCAGTAGTGTGATAAGCAACGTCCTCTTCAAGAGATTTCTTGTAACGAGCATGATAAGCTTCCCTTGCCAAAACCAATTCTTTAGGAGATCTGGTACAAGCTATTTCCACAAGAACAAAATTGCTTTTTGTCCATCTCTTAGTAGCTTCCTTCGCCAAATAGGCATCGCGCTCTGAAGGATCCAATGTCCACACTACCACCAATTTCTGAGAGAAAAACATAGTAAGTGTTAGCCTTTTCATCAAATGTATCGAGGATCTAGAATCAATGGATTCAGAATAAGTATGGTTGTTATTTTCTAACATGTGTACACATAATTCAAGCCAAAAGCATGGGTTCGTTTCAACAGATCAAAAGAAATCCGCGCCTTTGATCACAGTAACTCAGATACTCAACTGATCAACTAAGTATTCTAACAAATCTAAGGTTTTATTAAACTTGTTCATGTTATTATCTTAAGAAAATAACCTCAAAATCATTGGTAAGTTCTCTGTCCAACTCTTTAAGGAGATCTTCACCAAAAGTCTCAGCATAAATCTGTTGAATCAACTTGCGTTGAGCAGCATTTCTATGACCCAAAATTGATATGATCAACTTCTCGTTTGTTCCCCATCCTGCAAACAGTAACCATCAAAAGTCAATCTCAACCATCAATCTAATATTAGTAGCAAGATCTTTATAATCAGAAGATAATAACCAGTATCAGAACTAGATGTATAGAATATACTAAAAGATCAAATAATGAAGCAAACAAGTGAATCCGTGTATATGTATGGTCTATATATACATCAAATGGACCAATCTTACAAAGATCTAATGGTATAAGTTGATATAAATTGTGAAAAGAGGCCTAAATTATTCAAGATGAGACGCATAAAGAGATTAGTAGTAGACCTTTGAAGGCAGCTCGGAGTTGTTCACAGTCTTCAGCTACTGAAGGAACTTCTGCCGGAACAGTAAGACTAGCCATTTTTATGATTGTCAAGACTCGAAAATGCAAGCAGACTAAGGTAAGATCGTATATTTTCCACCTTCCCTTGTTGCCTTTTTAAAGACGCAGAAAATGACCTTTGCATTACAATATTGCCCTCCTTTTATTTATTTTTTATTTTCATTTTTTCTTGTTTTTCCGCGTTTGGCGCTGTCAATCAAAAAGTTTCAATACTACGATATTTTATATGGATCTTAAATACAAGATGTCGAAAAAGAAATTCAATCATTTTCGTAGTAGCCGGGCCACATTCACATGCCACTACGTGCCATATGTACGTGTTTTAATGAATAAGCTGATGATATTTTAATGGATCTTAAATACAAGATCCACATATTCTCAGGAGTGGCCCCTATTCCCCATATCCCTTTTACCAAATGTCGAAAAAGTTGTCCATTTACTTCAATCTTCACCTTACAACTTGTCCTCTCTGCATTTCTTTTTTTTTTTTCCCTTTATTATATGCTAGCGTTTGGATATAAATTCGGTTGAAATTTAAAAGATAAATTTTTAAAATTATATTAAAAAATAATTTTTAGAAGTTGAAATTGTATTTGGATATATATTTTATTTAAACAATAATTTTTTTATTTTCTTTGAAAAAGTAATTAAAATTTATGGTTTAAACGGAGCTTACGTATAAATTATTTAAACTGCATAACAGATGGTTTTCATGTGCTTGTTGTATTTGTAATGATTCAAAGTTTCTGCATCGGATGACCCCAAGATACATAAATTAACGTGATAATGATGTACTATAATACATGTTGTGCCAAAATGAAAAAAAAAAAAACGATTAAACAAATATGTGTATATATATTATCTTCTGATTAAATACCTTTCAAGCCCTCCCTATATATTTGGTTGATAAAATATCTGGTAAGATATTGTATGGATATGAGTCCATGACTACATGATATGATAGAAAATGTCATCTTCACATGCAAGTAATCATAGCATTTTATGTGTTGGGACTCCAAAAGTTACAACATACAATTGTATTTTAACCTTTTATGAGAGAGAGAGTACAAAAATTATTGTTAAGACTAAAGTCACATTTAATCATGTAATATTGGGGTCTAGTGTCGGGGTTACTAAAGTTAGACAAAAAGAAACGAAAAATAAAGAAGGAAAAATCCTTTCTATTGGTAACTCTGCTCTACTGGCCATAGAAAATGAAGCAAACTTTCTAAAGAGAGAAACGTATGGCCAATTGAACCATACATATGGAGTGTAACGTATAGCCAGTTGAAGCTACCCTCTTAATTATGATTAAATAATTCATTTATTCAATCTGTTATGGATCACATATTATATCGAGACTGATCATTAATTCAATAAATAGATCTGTTTACAAAAGGGTACTCATCAAGAAGCACGTACGGATATGATTCAAAATGTTAATGCTAAAACCTGTTGTAATTAAGCTGCATAACCCAAATGTTGCGTCCAAAGTCCGTCAAATGTAAGATTATACATGAGTAAATGATGATGTATGAAAACAATAAGCTTCTACTACGTGTAACCATCTTGTCGTAAGGTTTATACTATTGGTTGATTTGACTTCAAAATTAAAGAGAAGCATTTTGCTCGCAGATTATGTCATAATGCAAAAAAGATCTTTAAGGAGACGCGTGATGTTAGCTATGTTGTAGTCGGCAGAGAGTGCCAAATTTGTGGTCATCAACTGACTCATGATGGGAGATTGGGAGAATGGAAGCCTGCGCATAACGGGTAAAATAGCGCGCTTTCATATAATTGGGAAGTTACAAATTCGAGCCGTGAAAACAGCCTCTTGCAGAAATGCAGGGTAAGACTACGGCCAATAAATAATTATGGTCCGAGCCTTCCCCGGACCCCGGGCATAGCGGAAGTTGTAACGACCCGGCCGGTCGTTTCGAGGGTTACAGTCCGTTACCCTATTTTTCTGCTTCATTTGTGTTCTTCAACTGTATTATGTCTTATTGGGTTAGTTGGTTCGGGTCCGGAGTGGTTTTGGAGTAAATTGAGTCACTTAGTCTCTTTTGTGAAGGTTTAAGTTGGGAAAGTTGATCGGATGTTGACTTATGTGTAAACGATCTCGGATGAGAATTTTGATGGTTTCGCTAGCTCCGTTAGGTAATTTGGACTTAGGAGCGCGTCCTGAATGTGATTTGGAGGCCCGTGGTAGAATTAGGCGTGAATTGACGAAAATTTGAATTTTGGCAATTTTGGTCGGTAGTGGAAATTTTGATATTGGGGTGGGAATGGAATTCCGGAAGTTGGAGTAGGTTCGTGGTGTCATTTCTGACTTGTGTGCAAAATTTGAGGTCGTTCGGACGTGATTTGATGGATTTCGACGTCGTTTGTGAAATTTGAAAGTTTAGAAGTTCTTAGACTTGAATCCGTGTGTAATTTGGTGTTTTGATGTTGTTTTGAGTGATTCAAAGGTTCGACTAAGTTCGTATGATGTTGTTGGATATGTAGGTATGTTTGGTTGAGGTCCCGAGGGCCTCGAGGTGATTTCGGGTAGTGATCGGAGAGTTTGGAGTTGAAAA